ACATTGGTTTGAACATTTTAATAAAACTCCTCTCCAATTTTCACACATAACCAAAGGTAACACTGGGACATGAGCAGATGCCTCAGTGGCAGTTCTGGCCTTCAATAAACAGGACTGAAGATGAATCCTATTTCCCACACCCGTTGAGTTTAACATTTGACACAGATGGGTGCTTTAGGCCATCTAGGTGAGGGCAAAGGTACATAAAGATATTGGACACTGTGTGAATGGGGCATCCTCTTCATAGTATAAGTACAGGAGTGACACCAGATTATACCTGATCAAAGATGTTATTACATACCTCTGGAGCAGGTGGGATTTGAACCCAGACCCCTTGGTTCAGGAGGTAGGGACTTTACCTCTGCACCACAAGAGCTCCTCTGTCATAAGGATTACACCAATGATCCAGCAATACAACAGCCAACAGGGACTTGACACCTGGATACTCAGATTAGAAGTCTGATGCCCTACCGACTGTGCTATCCAGGCTCACTTGACACTGGGTTATAATAAGTGCTGACATCATTTCCAAAATAGTTCACTATTAATAATAGGTTTAATGGCTAGTGATGTTAAGGGTTCAGTAGTCAGGCATCCAGCCAGTCCTCACCATTGAAGTACAGGACTGCTTTGTTCTCTAGCAGTGCTTTCATTAATTAGCAGGCAACACATGATGTAAACCTGTCAGTAAACTGAACGTGGAACTGCTGTCTAGAGCTCACTCTGCTCCAGTTCACCTCGGAACTGCTTTTTTTTCTGATCGTAACTGAGGAAAGCAGGATAAAAGAAAATAAAGGCCTGGAGACATCCTAGTATATGACTTGACAACTCTCGTCACGAACCTGATGATATAGTTGAACAATGATTTACTGATGAGGCATTTTACTCTGGTCCCACAGCTAAATATCCTGCTCTGGGTTGTTCATTACCGTTTTGTCTGTTAGACCTGTCGAAATGGAAACACAGGTAAGAGCTGCAAGATTTTTTTAAAATGTGTGTTCGCTCTTTCCTCCTTAATTGTTTTGTGGGAGGCAGGGTGGGGATGAGAGTAAAGGGCTTGCATTGAGAATTTGTCACTTGTTCCTTTTTGCAATGGAAACAAGGTATCATCATGAGGGAGGATGGGACAAAACACACAGGAAATGTGAAATCAGATCAGGAAAATTCTGGAAGTAGACAGTAGTTTAGTCAGACCCAGAAGAGAGAAGAGGCAGATTATTTTATTTGATTTGATTTAGTATTGTCACATGTACCTAAGTAATGTGAAAAGTTTTATTTTGCATGCAGATCATACCATACAAAGATTAAAGGAATAGAAAGTTACAGCTGCAGAGAAGGTGCTCAAAAAGACTTAGAAATGAGATTCAAAAGTGAATAGTGATTGTAAGAAATGAGAGAATAAGATCTGCTGCAGAGAACTCTCAAGGAATTGCCCTGTGTTGGAACAAGGTTATTTTGTTTCTGTTTCATTATGAAGAATGCCTAATTATTACCTATCCTAAAACTCACAGTGAACCTCCAACACAATGCATGGAGCTTAGACATTCCCACACAGTGCTGTTAGGGAGGGAGTTCTGGGATTTTTGTCCAGTGATACAGAAGGAAGGATGATATATTTCCAAGTCAGTACGGGGTGAGGCTTAGAGAGGAACTTGCAAGTAGTGTTTTTTTTAATTTTCCCCAATCAACCTGTTCAGAGATATTATTGCACACCTCCAGAGGAGGTGGGACTTGAACCTAGGTCTCATGGCCTAGAGGAAGGGACATTACCACTGCTCCACAAGAACCATCTTACCCTTGTCCTTCTGGATGGAGGTAGAAGGCATGGGTTGCAAGGTGCTGTTTGAAAGAGCCTTGGTGAATTGCTGCATTGTAGATAATGGCCAGTTTGAGGAACTCAATAATTAAGATTGCCGTGAAGACAAGATTTGTTTTCATTGTTAATCCGTTCAATAGACAATGCTGGTATTTACCTTGATGCAACAAAATAGATCATTAGGTATTTTTTAAATTAGTCATTCATAGGATGCGGGTGGCGCAGGCTAGGGCAGCATTTATTGTCCATCCCTAATTGCCCAGAGGGCAGTTCAGAGTCAACCACATTGCTGTGGGTCTGGAGTCACACGTAGGCCAGACCAGGTAAGGATGGTAGGTTCCTTCCCTAAAGGACATTAGTGAATCAGAGGGGTTTTTCCCCAAGAATCAACAATGGATTTGTGGTCATCATTAGATTCTTAATTCCAGATCTTTATTGAATTCAAATTCCACCATCTGCCATGCTGGGATTCAAACCTGGGTCCCCAGAATCTTATCTGGGTCTCTGGATTAACAGTCCAGTGATAATACCATTAGGCCATTGCCTCTCAGGGTGACACACCCTACCCAGTTAACCCTGCAAACTCCTTCTCACTAATATCTGGTGCCAAAATTGGGAGAGCTGTCTCACAGACTAGTCGAGCAACAGCCTGACATAGTCATACTCACAGAATCATACCTTACAGACAATGTCCCAGACACCACCATCACCATCCCTGGATATGTCCTGTCCCACCAGCAAGATGTACTCACTAGATTCGGTGCCACTGTGGTACATTCAGGAGGGAGTTGCCTGAGGATACCTCAGTGTTTACTGTTGATCCCAGCTGACTCTTGTGGCGTCAGGTCGAAAATGGACAAGGAAACCCTGTGCTGACCAGCACCAAGTGCCACCCCACCCGACCACCCACCCACTCCCCAAAGTGGATGACTATTGCTTCTTCATTCAGAACAATACTTGGAAGAAGTTGATGGAGTTCTCTGTGACCATCACCAAGTGTAGCTCGGCACCGTCATGATCCACTGAGCTGACGAAGACCTAAACAGCATAATTGCTTGTCTGGGACGACCAGCAAGGAACCAACCAGAGGGAAAAGTTACTTGACCTCATCCTCCCCCAACTATACGATGTACATCCATCTGTTCACAGCAATATCTGTAAGAGTCACCACCCTGTTTCCAAATCCCTTCAGCTCTTACCATTTCCCAGGACTCCTCCAATTCTGCCCTCTCGTCTCTTCCTAATTTTAGCCATTCCACTACTGGTGGCCATTCTTTTAGTGACCTTGGTGGTAAGTTATGGAATCCTCTCCCAACACTCTCTGGCTGTCTCTCCTCCTTTTAAGGCGCCCACTGAAACCTCCCTGTTCACGATTTAGCATTGGGTCACCGGTCGTCATATTGACTCCTGTGGCTCAGCCTCGAGTTTTCTTTGATAGCAAACCTGTCAAAGAGCCTAGGGATATCTCTCAGTGTTGAAAGGGTGCTACATAAATGCAGGTTGTTCTTGTAATGGTTTGCTCCCAAAGGTCTAACCAGCCATTGGATAGCAATGTACTGGATGATCCATCAGATGAGGACTCTTGCAGTTGAACAGCCTACAAGAATGAATTGATTTGATTTGATTTATTATTGTTATATGCACCTAGGTACAGTGAATGCACACCCTAGGGCCTTGTAAAGTATTCTTTCAGTTGACTTCTTGTTGATATTTGACGTTGACAGTTGACAAATTTAAAAGTCTGTTTTAGATTGTGATGGTGCTGGTTGTATTCGTCATCTGTAGCCACCATGGAAATTGGGCAGGAATTTATATTTCTGTCTCAAGGTTCATTTTAGAGTTGGGCGTCAAAAAAAAATACTTTGATGCAGTGAATGGTAATGAGTTGGAACTTGTTAGCCACAAGGGTGGTTGATTGATAATTTCAGAAGGAAATTGGGCCACGTACAGGAGGGATAAAACTTGCAGGGCTGTGGGGATAAGAGTGGGTGCATAGGACTGACAGAGAGCCAGAATGGGCTTGATGGCCTGAATGGCCACCACCTTTCTTGCCGTAATGGCTTCAACGACAAGCAAAAGAACCAGAGGTGACATGGGGCAAGGCAGTTTTCCACAGCATGTGTCCAGTTCTGCTTTTCGAAAGGGAAAAAGAACCAGACAACCGTGGATGCTGGAAATCAGAAACAGAAACAGAAATTACTGGAAAAAGTTGGCAGATCTGGCAACATCTGTGGACAGAAAGCAGAGCTGACATTTCTGGTCCGGTGATCCTTCCTCAGAATGGGAATTAAGTAACCAGCTGAAGAAAAAACGGTAATGACTTGGAACTTGCTGCAAGTTTGGAGGAGAGGTGTAAATGGATAGCACTAGCTGAATACCTCTTACAGACACACAAATAGTTTGTGCTGTAATTGTCACTCCAGCATGTAAGGCAGCCCTCGTTTTCTTCAACAAAAAAAGGGGGAGGCGATGGCCTGGTGGTTTTATCGCTGGACTGTTAATCCAGAGACCCAGATAACATTCTGGGGGCCTGGGTTTGAATCCTGCCATGGCAGATGGTGGAATTTGAATTCAATTTTTTAGAAAAAATCTGGAATTAAGAATCTAACGATGACCATGAATCCATTGCCAATTGTTGGGGGAAAAGCCTATCTGGTTCACTAATGTCCTTTGGGGAAGGAAACTGCCATCCTTACCTGGTCTGGCCTACATGTGACTCCAGACCCACAGCAATGTGGTTGACTCTTAACTGCCCTCTGGGCAATTAGGGATGGGCAATAAATGCTCCCTGGCCAGTGACACCCTATCCCATGAACAAATAAAAAAAAATGAATGTTTTGAGCTAAACTCCCATTGAGATTCATCATCACTCTTGAATTTCCAGCTCAGAGGTATGTATTGAAAGTTATATTCCCTTTCCAAGTCAACCCATTGAATTAAGCTGGCATGAGAAGGGGAATGTGGGGCAGGGATTGGCTTTGATAGGCTCAATCGTACTGACTCCCACGTCACTCCCAGGCCAATGTCTGGGGAGGGCAAACTAGCCCAAAATTTCTCACCCATTTGCTCTCAGTCAGGGCCTGAAAACCAACCCAGAAGAAACTCAAAAATGTTCTCTGGCCTTGAATTATGAGGAGACGCAGTTAAGTTGGTACTTGTTTTATTTCCAAAGGGATGTGATAGTTTTTCAGACTAATCGAGTTTAAACCGTGTCCTCCTGTGTTCCAGTTCTCTATCAGTCTCTGGCTGACAGTTATGTGCTTCCAGCAAATATTGGCGACCCCCCATCCTGACTGGAACCAGTATTTGTCAAAGCTTCATCCTCGACCGTTGATGTTTCGGTTCAAGCTCCCACGTAAGTTCAAATCCAGGTTTAAAAAAGCAACAGGCTTATGAAC